CAAAGCTCACCTCAGGAATACTTCCTCTCTTCACTCAATCTGTTCTCTCATGGCGATCTGGACGCGCTCGATGTTCAACGCGCTCCTTACACCACTTGGCATATGGCGCGCGCGTCAATCTGCGCCTTGCTTGAGTTGCTTCATCTGGCATCGTTGCCACATTTTGCCTTAATGCCTCTCTAGTCTCCTGAGCTTTTCTCACCAAGCTTTCGGCGTTCAACAATTCCATCTTTTTGTTGCGATTGAGGATCTTGGTGTCGATCTTTAGCCTGGGGCCGTTGCCTGAAATGCCGAGAAATGAACAAGCTGCCCTCAGAGTTGCCAAAGATGAATCCTTAGTCCACTCTATTCCATTCACCAAGACTTTGTCTACATCCATTGGGCTCAGCTGTAGTTCACACTCAAGGTCATCTTCTTTCTTTTCATCTTCTTTCTGACCTTCTACCTCCTTCTCCTGTGGAGTAGGGGTAATCTCTTCTAGTGTCTGCTGCACTTCTTTCTTTCTTTGCTTTCTGTTCTCAAGCTTCTTGTATCCTGGCGCAGAGAATCCCATATCCTCTAGTGATGCTAGCTCATAGCTGAAGATTGTGATTGAAGGAATGACTGCATCATCATCAAAGAATTGCTCAACAAGTTCATCCTTCTTCATCACGCCCTCACAACATTCAGGCATTAGCCATCTTTACTGGGGGATCCACAAATTTTTGAAGTCAATAAGCTTCCCTCTAGCAGCCCATGCTCATTGAATCTTGAACCTGATTCTTTCTCAAGATCTTAAGGTACTTGCACGTCCAAGCAGTTCTCATCTTCATCTCGAATTGACTCTAACGCGGCCTCGAACTGTCAAAGAACGTTTCTGTAGGTTGAGTGGTACCTTCAAGTCACCGTTCTCCAACATTTGCTCTCTGCTGTTGATTCCCCAACCATGTTCCATCAACCTTCCATCACAAAGCATGGGCTGATTTACCTTGGAATTGGAACTGAAGATCACATTCTCTTTGAGAAGAACTTCTCGTCCATCAAGGTCACGCAAGGAAATTTCAACACTTTTCGCGCCTCCTGTAGAGATGCGGTTTCCTTGAGCATCTTGTAGCTTGGTCTTTGCGCTGAATTGTGGCTCTGCTTCCCCATGATCTGCCATACTCAAAGGGAATAACGCTACATCTGCTCCACTGTCAATAATGATGGCCACATCCTCATTCTCTTCCCCAAATCTTCTCACCATGGGCTCATCATCTGAGATGTCAATTTCTTCAACTTCCTGGAATTCTGCCTCATCATCATCATCTCCAAGGTGGAAGTGAATTACTCGAACTCCTTGATCTTCTGGCTCATCATCGCCTTGTCTCAAGTCAAAGATGGTCGGCTCACTGCTCACAATTCTCCTGACTACAGGCTTGGTCTCTGCTGAGCTCCCTTGTTGGCTCACACTAGCATGTTGTTGGCCAACTGTATGAGTTTTCACTGATGCTCCTCCTGAAGATGAATGGGTCTGATCACTCGCTACCTGTCGAATATTGCTTCTCCAACAGTCTTTAGCCAGATGTCCTGGCTTTCCACAAGTGTAACACGCTGCCACACCTTTGCCTTTCTGGTCTTCGCCTTTGCCTTTACCCTTATGATCACCTTCTTTTCCTTTCTGATCTCCTTTTCCTTTCTTTCCTTTGCCCTCGGCATCTTTAGCTTTTCCTTTCTGATGGTCATTTTTGACCTTCTTACCTTTTCCTTTGGCACCTTAGACTCGACCAACGGTCCTTGATATTCTGTACTGCTACTAGCCACCACCTCTGTTGAGATCTGTCCCATTGCAAAACATGTTCCCTCAAAGTTGGGTAGTGAACATTGTCACCAATTGTCACGTTCAAAAGGCTTCAAGAGTTGAGGTGGTGTATTGCACTATTCATTGAAAATGCTGGCCGTGTAGTGGCTGCTCCCAAGAGTGCCAAGCCTCTTGCCTCTGAAGCTTTATTCAAACTCCTCCAGGCATCAAGCCCAATAGAGTCTTCCACCGCTTTCACCAGTGCCCCTTTTTATCAGTGAAGCAAACAATCCATAGAGCTTGATGCATCTAGTCTTCTCTGCCTCAGTTGCCAAGTCCCAATCAAACTTCTCATTGGCTTCTCATGAACCTCTTTCAAACCGTTCATGTAGCCCTCATCAGTTGCGCTCAAATGTTTCTCAAAGATCCATGACCACTCTCTAAATGCCTTGATCTCTTCATCCTGTGACTTGTAGTCAAAGATGTTGGGCTTTGCGCTATCAATTTTAACCAATCTGTTGTTGTCGTTGGCTTCTTGTCTTCTACTGCTTTCTTCACTGCCTCAGCTGCTGATGCCGTTGCCAGCGTGCTCTGTGCTATACTCTGAAGGACTTCCCTGATCTCCTCCATCTTCTCCTTGTACTAATTAATGTCTCTTTGACACAATGCAATGGGTACAGAGTGTTGCTCACAACAATTCTTCACCAGTCCAGCTGTTTGAGCTCCAAAGGCCCCACCCAGGATCCCAGTGACCTAGGAGCTTTTCAACCATACTTTTCTCAATAGGCAAAGGGACCGCAGTAGGTCCTCATGCACACAATTTACAAATGAACTGTTCTTTCTATGATGCTAGTAATGCAATATTCCTGCACATGGAAACTCGTTCGCAATATATAATATACGCATAGAGTGCAGTCACAAAAAGAACTGCAAATGTTTGCGAACGCACCCGAAGAAAAACCATCAAAGAACATTTTGTCAAGGAAGACTTGAAAGAATTTACGCTGTCGTATGTAATAAACCTCCTTCCTGCTACTTACCTAAAACAAAACTAACCAAGCCTTACCAAGCAGCTACCATCATCTAGGAACCAAAAGTTCCCGCAAAATCCAGGAACCAAATCATTAAGGCTCAGGCTTCTTCAAGGAAGCTCCCCCCGTCCTTGAAGAAGCCGGAGCCCTTCTGCGTCTGGGCATCTAGCTTGTTCGTTTAGCAGCTGCTAGAAGCGACTCCTTACTACTGTTGCCTACTCAAGCTGGCTTCTTGAGCTACCACCTCTTGGCGGCCTGCCCACTCCCAGCACCCCCACTACTTCGTTTCAAATTTGGCTTGAATGTACTGTATGTATATATTAAATTAAAAACTAAGCAGGTCTTACCATTATTTTGTCCTCCGGTCTTACTCCCTGGTCCGGTCTTAGCCGCACCTCTCGAGGCTTTCGCTGTTCCGAGATGGGAAAGGTGCTCAGTGGCAGAGGACATCCACCTGGGCATTAGCAACGCTAACTGAGTATTAATCGGCACTGCTAAAGCAGTGTTACAAGTGCGATCCAAAGCAGTGCCCGTCTCACCATGCGCCTCTCCAAATGACTTTTTTGTAAACGTCTAACAACTGTGAAGAAAAGAAGAAAAAGAAAGTCTCCGTATGTCGAAGAGGATTTCACCCTGGAAGAGCCCGAACTCAGCAAGGCACAGTGGATGCAACAGCAGCGCTCTTCCTGGGTCAACTAAACCAAAAGGAGCAGCCCCACTGATCAAGCCTGTCACCTTCAAAAAAGGTACATAACAAAGGGCACGTTCAACATATATAAGTTAGCTGCTTCAACAAAAGTCGACTGGATCACGTGCTGTGGAAGGAGAATGCCCTAGAAGTCCGAAGCGCGTAGTGCCGACACATTGCATGCAGAAAATGGAAGCAAAGGCTTTGAACAATTCTGGGACCATTTAGGGCTCTGAGCTTTCAAACACACTCTGGGGTGCCCAGGCACATTTCAAGCAGCGCCAAAGGTGGCTGGGCTGCTGGAGCACAGCACCCCCAAAGCTCCTCTATTTTACACGTGAAAACACTGCCAAAGACAGAAGCAACGACTTTGAGACAAGAAGTAAGGTCTTAAGGAGGTGGCAAGACGCAAAGAGATGGTAGCTTGAGAAGTAAGCTTAAGTAGATAACAAGCACGGGGTAGCTGCTACGCGAACAAGTAATTACTAGGTGCCCGGACGCAGAAGGGCTCAGGCTTCTTCAAGGAATCTGAAGAAGCCTGAGCCTTAATGAGTTGGTTTCTAGATGTCAGGCGAAGTTTAATCTAGTGGGCAAGCCTGTACTAAACGCAAGTAGCTAGTAGTAAAGGGTTTTAGTAGTAACAACGAAGCTACTGCCTTGGACGCAGAAGAGCTCAATTGTTACTTTACTAGACTTTGGGGAAGTTAACATGCCATACTTAGACTTGTTCATGTGTTCAGTTCTGTCTTTCAAATTGGAATGCCTAGCCCCAGACACCTGCTGGGAAGCACAAGAGAGCAGCCTGTGCAAAAGCCATGCTGCACTCGGCCCATGTCCACACAAGTACTAGAGGCTTGAAAGTGTCGGTGCATGTAAGTCTTGAATCTATGTATTGAGACATCGCTAGAGCTGGTGCTATTCCCACTCTTGCTTTGGTGAAGCAAAAGGAAAAGGAATTATGCTTTGCAGTTGTCATGCGATGGCCGGGAAGGCCAAGGTGTTCAGCTTCTCACGCCGTTGATGGCTCCAACTTAGCCTAGGGTTTGGGGCCAAGGACAGCTCTGAAAGCTTCGTCACAAGGAAGCAAAGGTTGCTGCTCGCTTCAAGAAATATCAACACTTCTCTCATGGACTTGAACCGTAAGACGTTCATTCTGGAACGGCCTTTCAAAGCTAAAGACAAATCAAGCACGCACCAAGGTCCAAGGCACAAGGATAGTCAATTCAAAAAAATGTTGAAACCTTCTGAAGCTTCATGGGGAGCGCCGTACCCACTTGTTGGACAGCCTATGTTTCCATGTTATTCGAGGCTTCCCAGGATCATGATCTCAATACTGTGAATGTTGGATCTCGGCGACACATCCAGTGATTTGGCAAGTCCACCCAAGCTCATTCAAGTCATTAATAAAATCACAGTTGTTTGTTCACAAGCTGCAGAGCACTTCTACCCATAGTACTCAAAGTGTCCCTGAACTCACGGTACCTCGTGACATTGTCAAATGTTTCTCCAATCAACTTCGGGCCTGCCATGATCGATGGTCACCCCTGGCTCGCGACACACGCTTGTCTGGGGTTCACTTCAACCTCTGATTGGTGTGGCTTCAGTGAAGTGGGCTCAGGGATGAAAATAGAGATAGCCATTGATGCGTGATGCCATCTTTCTGTATTGGCTGTTTGTTAGAGAATAAATACATGTCATTCAACACAGGTAAAGCAAATCTGCAATCTTTACGAACACCTCGGTCGGTTCTTCGAAGCGTTCTCAAATTCTTTACAGCATCCCACCCCAAAGTTTGATGCCTCTAGACTCTGGACTTGAGAGTGTGTGTGTGTGTGTGTGTGTCCCACCCTGTACCTAAGGGATTCGAAGCTATGATCACTGTTGGGATGGGATCAAGGACGCTTGATCCTGTACCTGCTCGTTATCTTACGGACTCCACTGGTCCACCCTGCTGCTGTCTTTTCGATTCCATGGTCCTTTCATGATAGTCTCCAAAACCTGTTTCCGCTGACTGCAGCTGCACCACCGCCGCTTTGATGTATGCAACACATGTTCAAACACCTTCAAATGCTCGGACGTTTCGCCTTACCGTTCTGTCATTCCTTTCCCTGTGGATTATCTTACTGAATGAAACCTATCGAAGTGTGTGTGCAGGGGTGGGGGGCGCGGGAGGTGTCTAGTTTCTCAAGGGCGTAATGATGTCATCCGTCTGCCAATATAGTTGGAATTCCTTCCACTGGATTCCCACTTCCGCTCTTCTGCTGTTTTAAGGGCGCTTCTATTCACCTCGGAGACCAAGTGGGCGTCATGGCCATGGCTCAACACATTCTCCGAGGCTGTCCTCCTTCTGCTGGGTCAGTGGTTGCAATCAGGTCCGTTCTGGGCAGCATAGCAAGCCGAGCAACATGACAAAAAATCAACAAACAAAACTTTATCGTGCGATGTATTGCACAAAAGTATGTAGCCGTAGCTTAAGCATTCTTCCACTGTAGCTGTTGAAGTCTTTTTTCCCTTGGGCCTAACTGTCCGCTGCAAACAGAGCATAAGTAATCTGAATGAAAGTGTTTTTTCAGGGATCCTGACAAGCTCTTTCGCTTTACCTTATGCAGTGTGCAGAAGTCTTTGAGCCAGCTATGCCAAAGAATCGATATCCAAGCACAAAGCGTCTGCATGCTTAAGCTGCGATTTGCATAACTTCTCGCTGATTAATGAAAGCTGCGTTTATTGGGCAGCCAGGCTCTGCCGTTCAAAGGACGCGCTGATGTGAAATAATTCGTTCCATTCTCTCCCCAATGCCCTGACAAACCACATGCCACGAGTCTGGTTCATTTTTCGCAGCTACCTCCCAAGACACAGGTCGCAAATTAGGGCTTTTTCTGCAGCAAGGCATCCAAACGTTGTTCTGCAGCCTGGCATTTGCTAGAAGATATGCTGCGGCTTGAAAAGAGAACAACAAACCAGAGCTTAATACAACACAACTCATGCACAAATTTCCTGTGGCAGAGCTTTGTTGGAACCACCTCAACAATGCAGAAAAACTGGATGCAATCACATCCACTCGTGTCCACTTGTCCAAAAGAACTGTAATTACTGACAAACACTGCCCTCCAAAGTTTCTCATCTGTCTTTTCCAACGTGGCAGTGGAAAAAATCAAACAGGAAATCTGGACGTAAAAGCAAACAGTACAAGCATCCCAAAACCAACAACGGAAGCTGATATCATGCCTTCCAATCAAGCAAGGGTTTGTAGCCACAGCTGCAAGCAATTTCGTGAATTGTAGCTCCAGCATTCAAAAGCACACACAATGTCACAATGCGTGGTATTAGATGTTTCGTACGTGTGCTGTCCCTTTGGGTGAGCACCCCCTCTGTTGCTTTGCACGCCACCCTTTCTTTGCAAAGCTAGGGACGGACATTGCACGTGGCACACATGCACTCTGAATGAAAGCTATGGATGAAAGCTGCATGTGCAAAGTGATCAAGTTGGGTTGTTGTCGCGGGGCCAGTAAATGGCGAGCGCGGATCTAGCAAAGTGCGCATATACAATACAAATGAAACTGTGAGTGTTCCAGAATCACTGCCAACATCAACTGTACCGAGCCAGACTACACCTGTTGAGGGGTGCGCTACGTGTCTGCATGTCTGATACCAAAGACACGTTTAGTTAGTTTCTATTCCTGTCGTTCCTTCCCCTCTCTTCGAATCATCTGCATTGCTTGCATAAGAAACTCTCCTTTGTCTCCGGCATAACCTTCACAACTAATCCGTCGCCTTGACCGCAATTCATCACAAACGGGGAGGTCCAGCAGCTGATGCACTGCTCTCAGCGAGCTTTACTGTTGAGGTATCAATGCAATACGTGCTGCATTGAAAATCATTGACCACATAAATATATATATATATATAAATGATCTAGTATGCTTGGCAGAACAATTTTGGATTGGGATTAAGTTCAATGTAACTTGCGTGCACGGTATTCATGCAGTCATGTCACCCAACAAGGTACACGTTCTCTCTCATAGCCCGCGTTAGACTGATCAACAAGTGGGGAAGTTCTGCACTCCAGAGCAACTCGGGCATCTCGGGCATGAGCTGACCAGGTAACGTACACAGGTGGAACAAAGCACGCAAAAGAGGGAAGGGATGCGATCAAAGGCACAAGAAGCAAACGAAGAATATTCTGCAACATCTGGATCTGCAACAAATGTTTTCACAAACGTGCAACAATCATGCCATGCATGCATCTACATGCTGTGTGAGTGTGTGTGTGTGCCTCAAGAAATTACATACCTGAATTGCATGCGGCCAACTCCATCTGGACGGCCAAAGGTTGAATGAGAAGTAGCTGAACTTCCACTGTCCCCAGAGGAAAGGCTGACCATGCCTGGGTCTTGACAGCCCAGCAATGTTGTTGCAGTCCTGCCAAATCCAAGCTTGGATGGTGAACACCATACATGCTCAAAACGCACTCCAGCTAAAGGCATTCTCTCTCTTTTGAATGCCTGTTTGTTCTTCTGGGTGAGGCATCCTTTGGATGCTCACCGTATGTGCA